GTGTTCCTGTGCTGTTGGAGGCCGGCTGGGGGAATCTCCTTCCCTGCCCCCCCAGCAAGGAGAGTGGCTGGAGCAGGGGGCTGTTAGCGGACCAAGAAGGGTCCCTGGAGCAGCACCCAGAGGCTCTGCTGGTTTGGGTCCCCCCAATGCGGTGGGAGGAGCAGAAGCCAACTCAGCCCCATCTTCTCTTTCATCTTTTGTGCTTTTGCAGAAAAACGGCTTTGAGCAATTCTGCATTAACTTCGTGAACGAGAAGCTGCAGCAGATCATAGAGCTGACCCTGAAGGCAGAGCAGGTACAGAGGGGCTGGGCTGGGGGGGCTGGGGGGCTGCACCAGCACCCCGATTCCTGCACCCCACACCCCCATCGCCAGCCGATCGCGGCACCATGGCCGGAGCAGGGGGGCTGCAGCGTATCCCGTGGGTCTCTCCCTGCGCTTCCCCAGGAGGAATACGTGCAGGAGGGGATCAAGTGGACCCAGATCCAGTACTTCAACAACAAGGTGGTGTGCGACCTGATAGAGAACAAGCTGGTGAGTGGGGTCTCACCCTCCGAGGGAGGGTTTCTCGGGCATCCCAGGCACCCTGGGAGCCGGGTGCTGGATGGGCTGGGTGCTGTTGAGGGTGGGTGGCAGAAGCCCGTACAAAAAAATTGGGAGAGCAGCAGCTCTGCAGCCGTAACCTAAGCTGTGGTTCAGCACGAAGCAGCTTTGATCAGGGCAGGCCACTTGAGCACAGCCAGATGCAGGATTAGACCCTGCTCGCAGCCTTTGGACACCCATGGCTTCACTATCCCTCTCCTAGAACCCCCCTGGGATCATGAGCGTCCTGGACGACGTCTGTGCCACCATGCACGCCACCGGCGAGGGAGCGGACCAGACCCTGCTGCAGAAGCTGCAGGCGGCCGTGGGCACCCACGAGCACTTCAACAGCTGGAACTCGGGCTTCGTCATCCACCACTACGCAGGCAAGGTACAGCGCCCCGTACCCCGCACCCGATGGCCCTGACCACAGCGGTACGGGGCTGAGCTCTCCCCCTGACCCCAGGTTTCCTACGACGTGAACGGATTCTGCGAGCGCAACCGGGACGTGCTCTTCACCGACTTGATCGAGCTGATGCAGAGCAGCGAATAGTGAGTCCTGGCAGTGCTGCGGTCCTGGGGGCCACCCCAAAAGGGCTGGGGCAGAGGGCAGCACCCTCAACATTCAGACCATAAAGCTTTGCTGGTCCTGCTTCTGCCAGAGCCACAGCTCGGGGTGCTCAGCATCCTGCATCGCTGCGCAGGCACGGGCGGCATCCACCCGTCAAGCGCAGCAGCACCCGGGGGCTGCAGGGCCGGACAGAAGGGTGCTCACCCACCGGCACCGATCCTGCTCGGCCTGGGAGCAGTTGGGGGAGGTGGGCTCAGGCACGGTGCAGGATTTCCCAGCGGCAGAAGGCAGAGCTGGAGCTGGTTCCAGCTCAGCACGTGCTGAGCTTGGGGAGCCTGGCAGCTCTCACCCGGGGACTGTCCCCTGCCTTTCAGTGGTTTCATCCGGATGCTTTTCCCAGAAAAGCTCGATTCTGACAAAAAGGGACGACCAACCACCGCGGGCTCCAAAATCAAGGTACGTCCCGGAGGCTGCAGGACAGTAGCTGCCTCTGGGGCAGCAGCAGGGTGATGGGCTCCCACCCACGCCTTTAACGCTACAGAGGTCGATCCTTGCAACAGAAACAGGCGAACGACCTGGTGAACACGCTAATGAAGTGCACGCCACACTACATCCGCTGCATCAAACCCAACGAGACCAAGAAACCCCGGGACTGGGAGGAGAGCAGGTAACGGAGGTCCTCTGCCATCTCTCAGGGAGCCCAGGGAATGTGACCCAGGCACGGGGCTGTGGCCAGGACCAGCTTCTCTCCCAAAACTGCACCCCTGGGCTGGGCTCTCTGTGCTGCCCACAGACCCGGGGGAACACGAGGTGGGTGCCGAGGAGCGTGCCACGTACACCCCTCTCCATCCATCACCCAGAGGCTCCATCTGAGCCCCAAGAAGCTCTCACACACCACAGCCATGGGCATCCCCATGCAAAGCAGCGGCCGAAGGGCCCAAGCAGGTTTCTCCCCCCTCCCCAACCCCG